TGAGAAATCGGCCTCTGAGCAGGATACCTTGGAGAGGATTGAAGCCCCTGCCGGGGAAGGGGCCACCATGTCTTCGATACAACCCCAGTTTTTTTTGGTTTTTTTGCTTCTTGGTCTTCCCTTTCTACCTGATCGTGGTGATGGATCAATCCAAGAAGACTTCGTTCATTGGAACAGCATTCTAGAAGGTTCCGTAGCCCATTGGAACAGCATTCTAGAAGGTTCCGTAGCCCATTGGAACAGCATTCTAGAAGGTTCCGTAGCCCAAGAAACGAGGACCAGGTACATCAAGGGCAAAGGGAGAAGTCAAGGTTGTTGACTACTTTATCAATAATAAATATCGCAAGACGGTAAGCTGCGGAAGAGCAAGGACTATGTCTGATTCCCTTCCGCCTCCCCGACCTGGATGAGCACCTGGCATGTGACAGGCCTCCCGGAGTGTCGTCGCTTCAAGGGATGGAGGAGAATGATTGCTTGTGGAGACCTGCGTGGAAGCATTATCCTTTGTGTGGATCATCTGGTTTCGTTTTCCAATGAGCTCAACTGAATGCGTCGGTTAGCTGTCACTATGACAAACCACGCGAGAAAAATCAGCTTATAAAGGAAAAAGGTTTACTCTGGCTCACGGTTTTGAGCCATTTGGCCTTTGTTGCTTTGGACCTGGGCTGTGAGGGAGCGCATCATGGCAGGAAGGGTGCAGGGGTAGCCAAACTGCTCACCTCTGGCAGGGAAATGAAAGAGAGGAAGAGGAAGCAGCTGAGGTCCCACAGGCTCCTTCAAGGACACACCCACAATGACCAGAAGACCTCCATCTCGTCCTCACCTCCCAAGAGCACCAGGGGCCGGGGACGGAGCCTTCACCAGGTGGACCTCTGGGGAGCACTTATCTAAACTGTAGCCTGAAGGTTCAGAAAGGAGACTGCACTTGTCCAGGGTCCCAAGGAAACGTGAGGGCTGCGAGGTGAACCCTACAGGACGGTCAGACTCAGGATTTCTTTAGTAAAGACAGGAAGAGGTGCTGCTCCCCCCACCCCAGCTTCAGGAAGCAGGAGGGAGGATGGAGTGCCCCCAAACGTGGCTCCCACCTGGAGAGCAGCAGCTCCCTGCAAGCTGAGTGTGTCTGTCTGCCCGGAAAGTGACGTGGGAAGGGACAGAGAGAGAGGAAGGGAGGAGTCATTCCTCTTCAAAGGGATGCCTGTCCTCAGTTCTTGAAGAATCTTCTGTGTTTATGTCTGTGGAGGCCAGTTCCAAACACCCCAGAGGGCAACGGCCTTCCCCAGACCCAGGGCTGTCCTCAGAGCCACCAAGAGGCCTCCTGTCCATCCCTCTGCAGGGCAGGTCACCGAGGCCGCCACCTTAGAGGGCCCCTGAAATGTCCAAGCCTCAATTGGAAACAGAAAATAAAGTAACTTGTGTTCTTTATAGAAGTTTTAAGACCACAGAAGAAGGTAACAGAAAGATTTAAAAAACTCATCACCAAGACACTTTATTTTATTTTTATTTATTTTTTAGTCATAGGTGGACACAATGTCTTTATTTTACTTTATGGGGTGCTGAGGATCAAACCCAGGGCATCGCGCATGTTGGGCATGCTCTCTGCCTCTGAGCCACAACCCCAGCCCCTCCCCACCATTTTATTTTATTTCTTTTAATATTTATTTTTTTAGTCGGACACAAAAATCTTTATTTATTTATTTTTATGTGGTGCTGAGGATCGAACCCAGGGCCTCACATGTGCTAGGCAAGTGCTCTGCCACTGAGCCACATCCCAGCCCTATTTTGTAATTTATTTAGAGACAGGGTCTCACTGAGTTGCTTAGTGCCTCGTTTTTTGCTGAGGCTGGCTTTGAACTCGTGATCCTCCTGTCTCAGCCTCCCCAGCCACTGGGATGACAGGTGTGAGCTACTGTACCCGGCTTTATCTTTTTTTTTAAAATATTTTTTAGTCATAGATGGACACAGTATCTTTATTTTATTTGTTTATTTATATGTGGTGCTGAGGATTGAACCCAGCTCTCACATGTGGGAGGCAAGCGCTCTACCACTGAGCCACAACCTCAACCCAATCTTTTCTTTTCTTTTTTTTTTTAAAGAGAGGGAGGGAGAGAGAGAGAGAGGGAGGGAGAGAGAGAGAGAATTTTTTAATATTTATTTTTTAGTTTTCGGTGGACACAACATCTTTGTTGTATGTGGTGCTGAGGATCAAACCCGGGCTGCACGCATGCCAGGGGAGCACGCCACCGCTTGAGCCACATCCCCAGCCCTCAACCCATTCTTTTCTCTTAATAAAAAGCCCCCTTCCTTTCTAAAAGAAAGTTTCCATTTTAAAAGTTTAAATCTTGAAAGTAATCAATGCATTACTGCAGCCATCATAAGTAATCATTGGTTGGGGGCATTTAATGAGTGCTAAATTGAGTTTAAGAACTTGACAGGGAAAAGACAGGGAGATGCCACTTAGAGATCATTCCTTACAAGGGAACACGTTTACCTCTACAGTGGGCACCTCGGCCAAGTGGCCAAAGTTCACATCACCTAGGAGGGGACAAACTGAGTTTGTGGGACTCTTGATAAAAGGCACAAAGGATTCAACCTCACTTCTGCGATGATCCAAAAAATGCAGAGCATGAATCTGATCGTGAAGAAATGTCGGACAAACCCAAAAGGGAGAGGCGTTCCACAGAACAGCTATCTACACCGGGAAAAAATCAAGATCACGACGGACAAAGGAACGGCGAGGGATGGTTCCAGATAAAAGAAACATTATGCAAAGAGCACGGAGTAGAGCAAGACCAGACAGGTGGAGGCTAAAGGCCACGCAGGGGCCTGGCTTGGATCAGAGATCAGAAAACAAAAAAAATTGTTATCAAGGACATTATTGGGTCATCTGGCAAAGTTCACAACTGGACTGTATTCTAGACCCATCTTTGCTATTCTGAAATCATTCTGTGGTTAGGAGAATGCCCTTGACCTAGAAGGTCACACGGAAGGGTATAAGAAGGACTAAGAACAGTACTTAGGACTAAGAACAGTACTTAGGACTAAGTACTCAGTTTATGTTTATTGAGGGTAAAGGTCTGCAATTTATTCTCCAATGGCTCAGAAAAAATAATTTTATATGCACATAGATCTATTATTATATTATTATGTGTAATTATGACATAATCATGCATAATGTATGGCACATAATATATTATTATTGCATGTATGATCACAAAGAGTGGGGGAGAAAAAGAAATTAGACAGGTCCCATGGGATGGTGACAGGACTTAACACAGGTACCTAGAACAGTACTTAAGGACTAAGAATAGTACTTAGGGACTAAGAACAGTACTTAGGACTAAGTACTCAGCAGATACCACTGTCATTCGGACATTAGGGAATGCCCTCGGAGCTGCTGAGATCTCTCTGGTATGTGCAGGGGTTGTTTTTTTAAATGTTCTCTTCTGAAATAATTTTCAGGAAATATTTCTCTTCTGCAAGAGAAAATCTGCAAGAATGAAAAATTCTTCCACCTGGATTCACCCATTTCAGACTCAGGAAGGAAGCTCAGTAACAAACAGGACCAAGGGTCACTTTCCCTAATGGTGGTTGTGACGATGAATGTGGGTTTATGCTTACAGCACCCGGCAGAAGGGGCGCCCAGCACCCCTGCAGCACCACATAGCCCTTGGATCCTTGGATTCCCGTTCTTCTGTGTTCTGGCTGTGTCCCCTTTGCATCCCATGGGACCTGTCTCATGGGATGGTGACAGTACTTAACACAGGTACCTAGAACAGTACTTAGGACTAAGAACAGTACTTAGGACTAAGAACAGTACTTAGGACTAAGTACTCAGTAGATACTACTGTTATTCGGACATTAGCCAGAGGCAGAGCCGGTGGAGGCGAGAAGGTAAGTGACCGTCACCTCCAGCAAGGCCGACTGGGAGGAGAGCCAGGCGGGCCCCTGATCAAGAGACCAGCGCCCAGAACACGCAGCGTGTGTTCCCTGAGCAATGACAAGAAAGGGAAATGTCTACCACTTGGGACATCCTCTGAGCCATAAAGATAGGCCTGGTTGGCTCCAGACCAAACTCCAAGTTCTTCCCAAGGAGGATTTTGCAACTTGCTTTGAGAAATGCCTTCCTGGATTGCCCAGTTTCCAGTCGGGAAGGACTGTGTGTGTGTGTGTGTGTGTGTGTGTTGCTGGGGATAAGAACACGCTAGGCCAACATTCCACCGCTGGGCCACATCCTCAGCCCCTTTTATTTTGATTTTGATTTAGAGTCTAACAAACTTGCCTAACTTCCTCTCCTCCTGCCTCAATTCCCCGAGTTGCTGGGATTACACAGACGAGTGCCACCACCACACCTGATCAGAAAGTCCTTCTTGAGAGCTAACTCTATCCCTTCCTGCTTTACCCAGCTTTGTTCCACCCTCCTCACACCTAGGCAGGGACTGTACCCCCCAAGGAGAGCCCTCCAAGGGTTTGCTCCCCGGGGACAGGGACAGGACGGTGGTGCAGGTGGGACTCTCACCCCAGAGCCCAGGTGGGGTCCTGAGAGGGTGAGGCTGGGCTCACTCCGCCTCAGCCCACACCCTGTTTCCATTCCTTTCCGGTGACTCAACCGGGGAGGCCCGGGTGCCCCTCACCCCGTCTTCTCTGCCTGCCCCCCCCCCCCACCTGCATGCCTGAATTCTGGACTCCGGGCTTTGCTCCCTCTGGTCTGTGAGGAGGAGGAGCCAGGAGCCAATGGAGCCAGCAGTAGATGTCTAAGTTGGGGTGAGTCACCCCCCCAAATTTGGGACCAGAGCAGAGTCTGCCTCTGCTGTTCCCCGCGTCACCCGCCTCCCTGCTCTTGGCATCGAGACAACCCCACCCACTGCCTCTCACCAAGCTCAGCTTCCCTGCTTCAAACGTCAACCCGCTGCGCCTCCTTAGAAGCCCTTTCCATGTTTAAAAACCACGCTGGGTGCGGCGGGGGGGTGGGGTGGTGCAGCCGGGGATTGGCCTGGCACCACTTAGAGACTTAGAAGTTGGGGGCAGAGAGCATGGAAAAGGGTCAGACATTCAAGAGCAACAAAGGCCTGGTTGACACCATCCTCTACCAACTGGAGACACAAATATTCTTCAACGGTAGAACTCGCCAACTGTGGTATAGTCACATCACAGAATACTATACAGCCAGGAAAAAAGACGCCACGATCCCTTCACGGCCTCTCTTCCGCGAATCTCCAAGACAACGTTGGGTAAGATAATTCAGACGCAGAACGTCACAATGCTCCAGGACTCCCATTTACATGGAGTTAAAATACAGGCAAAAGCAATCTGCGGAGGTGGAAGTCGGGGTCATGGTGGCCTCCAGGTCGAGGTGCAAGACAGGACTGATGAGTGGGAGGAGGTCCCCCTGGGAGCTTTCCACGGTGCTGAAAATGTTCTATGTCTTCCCCTGGGGTGTGGCTACAGAGAGGTGCTCATTTAGGGAAAAAAGACATTGAGCTGTACAACTTCCTTAAAGGTCTAATGGTCTGCACTCCCAAGACTTCCCTGAGCGGCTTTTCAGTTTGCTCTCACAGCAATCGTGTCAAGGTACTGTGACAACAAGTTGAAGAGCGACTGTGCAGAGGGGCTGGGGCGGTGGCTCGCTGGTAGAGCTCTTGCCTAGCGCGCGTGAGACGCTGCGTTCAATCTGCAGCTCATACATAGTACTAACTCGATAAAATAAAGCTCTTGGGTCCATCTGCAACTAAGAGTATATTAAAAAAGAATGAGAGAAAGAAGAAAAGAAAAAAGTTACTGTGTAGAATGACCATAAGATCCAGAAGTCCCACTTTCCAACCTCCTCTTCGTCTTTGACAGCCTCCTACCTTTTCTTTCTTAATTTTATTATTATCATTATTATTTATTTTTTGGTGGGACTGTGGATTGGACCCAGGGGTGCTCTACCTCTGAGCTGCACCCCCCAGTTCTTTTTACTTTCTATTTTGAGAAAGGGTCTTGATAAATCACGGAGGCCGGCCTTAAACTGGAGATCCTCCTACCCCAGCCTCCCCGAGCCGCCGGGATTACACTTCGCCCAGCTCATTCCTTGCATTTCTCTAAACGCCAGCTCGTCTGTCTCCAAACTGGCCCTTTGGCCTGAGCCTGCGTTCCCCACCACCTACGAGGGTGCCCCACACCTAGTAGATGCTTCCCGCAGACTGCCCCCTGGGAGTGGACTCCCAAACACAGTGGGCATTCACACGGGTGGCGCGGAGACTTGAGCCAACTGGAGAGGAGATGGGAAAATTTTTGAGGCCATTCGCTCCCTCTGCGTCCCCTGCAGCCAGCCCGGAGGCAGGGAGAGCTTTCTCCTAATAGCCTGTGGTTTATGAAAGAACCACACGGTCCCCTGTGGCTGATTCTGTGCTTCTCTGGACTCCCTGGGCCCTGGTGGCTTGTGTTGAGTCTGGCCTGCAGGTGGACGTCCTGCTGCCAGGGCTCAGTAGTGAGCAGTGAATGGACCACTGGGAAGCTGCCGTTGGCTGGGGTCACAGTGGGGACAGACACGGGGGAGTTTGGTCTGAGAGGGCAGGAAGGAGACATCAACAGGAACAGAACTGGAGGAAAGCCATAGATCATTCTGGATCTCTCTAGAATTATCTGGATAACTAACTGGACGAGACCCGGACCCTGGGATCGGGCCAGGCAGTGCCAAGAGTGGTGAAAGGCAGGTGAGCCGGTGGCTCCTAAGAAGGACCAGTGCCTTAGACAGATTGGTGGGCTATAACAGAACACCCGAGGCTGGATACTTTATAAAGAAAAAAAAAGATTGATTTCTTCTAGTCCCGGAGGTTGGGAAGTCCAGGGTGGAGGGGCCTGCATCTTGCCAGGGGGGGCTTCTTGTTTAATCATCAAGGATGGGATCCACCAAGTCTTGGAGGAAAGGAGCAGGATACAAAATGTCCAGGCACACTGCTCTGTACCCCACCAGGTGGGCACCAGAATTGCCAGGGGTGTGGGGAAGAGTCCTGTGGGTGACAGCGTCCACGGGACCCCATCTACCAACTGACAGAACAGCTCCCCGTGCCCAGGAATATGGATTTACTCGAGGGTGTGCAGAAAAATGAACAGGGTTTTTTTTTGTCATCTCAGCCTCGTGTGCGATTGTGAAAAAAAAATGGTAAGAATTCAAATTTCCTATCCCAAAGAGATTCATGGTAGCATGCTCACGATATGGAAAAAGAAAAAAAAAAAACAAAAAACCCACACAGTGGCTATGTCTGGCAAGTATATGGCGAACCTCACGGAAAAGGGTTTTGAAGGATAAAAAGGCAAGAGCCGGGGCTGAGGTTGAGGCTCAGCGGTAGAGCGCTCGCCTAGGACGTGAGAGGGCCCTGGGTTCGAATCCTCAGCACCACGTAAAAATGAATAAATAAAATAAAAGGATTGTGTTCAACTACAATTAAAAAATAAATATTAAAAAGAAAAGAAAAAAAAAGTCAAGAGGTAGAAGAATATGTAGAACGTTGTTCCGGTTTGGGTGTGTCCCCTAAAGATCATGTGTTGGGAACTTAACCCCCACAGCAGCAGGTTGAGAGGTGACACTTTTCCTCCTCTCTGGGTCTCTCTCTCGGGACTAGGGATTGAACCCAGGATGCTCTACGACTGATCTACACCCAGTCCTTTTTATTTTGAAACAGGGTTTCACTAAGTTCCCCAGGCTGGCCTCGAAATTTCGATCCTCCTGCCTCAGCCTCCCAAGTCTCTAGGATGACAGGTGTGTGCCTCCATGCTCCACAAGAGGTGATTAAGTCATGAGGGCTGTGCCCTAATTGATGGGTCAGTGTTGTTCTCACAGGTCTTCTCTGTGTCTCTCTCCAGCACCCTCCACCTTCTGCAATGTGGGCCCTTGCTGGATCTTGGACTTCCTGACCTCCAGAACCTATAAGAAATCAATTTTCTGTTGTTCATAAATTCTCCAGTCTCAGGTATTCTGTCATAGCAACGCAAAACAACCTAAGACAAGCATGAATTCTTCATGTATTTAAAACACAGAAAACAATTCTATGTACTTTATTTTTTATTTTTTTTATTTGTTTTAATTACAATTGTATATACTCCCTATGGAGTCGATTCTATATTTGAGCCTGGTGCACAGACTGAGGGTCCCCTACTGAACGGTTGGTCCACTTTCAACCTTTTTGACTTTACAATGGTGTGAATGCTGTATTAGGCATTACTGCCCCCCAAATTCAGGATTTGGGTCTTTTCCTGGGCTAGGGTTTTGTGGTCTGTCTCTCCACTCGGTCCGTGATCATGAGGGAAAGCGGCTGTCACTCTGCCGTGCACCACGTTGCTACGCTGTGCTGTTGGGCAGGGGAGGTGGATTCATATATAGAATACTATACAGCCATGCAAAGCACTGTAGAGTGCTTCCGACTGACCGTATTTTCAGTGTGCAGCGGGTTTATCAGGGTGTCACCCCCATCGTAAGTTGAGGAGAATCTGCAGATGCTGGGTTCCTGCTGCCTTCCCGGGCCCCTGCTCCTACCCGGGTCTGCAGAATGTGACACCCAGACAAGCTGAGCCTCTCAAGCGACGGCTGGGAACAGCCTCCTGGTGTGGCTTTGGGGAGAGTTTTCACCTACCCGGGTGGACATACACCATATATGTCCCCCTCCACCCGTCACCCGCCACGGTACCCCAAGTTCCCAGAGCAACTGACATTATTTTGAGCTTCACTTGCCATTGAGCCCCCCACACCTCCAATTCCAGTGCCACTTATGGAGACCCCAGCACACACCAGGCTCCTCTGACGCTGTGTCCTCTTGATCGGTCACACCATCGAGTCTCTGAGCGCAAATTTCATTGGAGTTTCCGACGCGCAGAAATGGGCACACATCTTCCTTACACAGCTCAGTGAGTCTCGCAGTGTGAGCGCACCTGGGTGACCACAGAGCAGAGGTAGAATGTTCCCGGCTCCCTGAGCCCCTGGGTATCCTCATATCCCACCCACAGGGTAATTTTGCCTGGTGTTTGCAAGTTGACCGTATGAACCGATTTCCTTCTGAATCTGACTTCTTTTGTCCGAGGCTCCACCCTGCGTTGCTGTGTGTGGCGGTGGCACCTTTGCATGGGTGAATAGTATTCCATCAAGTGAACACAGCCCAAGAGCGCAATATATTGACAACCGCTTCCTGGATGTTTTATTGCTTCAGTTGCCCTTAGGAATAGTATTGCTTTGATTCTTTTTTTTAAAAAAATCATTATTAGCTGGAGATTTTTTAGAACCAGAGAGGGAGAGATTGGACGAGGGGCTTCACTGTTTTCTTCTCCCTACTCTGTGCAATACTGGGAACCAGGGGTCATCGGTCCCCTACGGTCCCCCTGCCAGAAGGTGGAAATTCTCCAAATATGGTGAGAAATCCTGAACCCCAGGGCAGCATGGCTTTCTCAGCAATGTAGAGGGGGGCCATCGGTGCCTTGCAGGTGAGTCTGAGTGGGACCAGGTGGCCTGGTGGGGAGAGGGGCCGGGGAGAAGGAGTCCTATTATCTCACGGAGGAGCAAAAACTGCAGACCTGTGACAATGATGCCTGTCGGTCAGGAATCCTGTCCAGCTGCCACCCACAGAGACCTGGGAAATGACGGCTCACAGGTCAAGAGGAGGTGATTCCCACAGGTCGGGGACTCCCTTGGCAAGGTGGGGTCCTTCTGGGGTGTCACCAGGAAACCACGATCCGCCTTGTCTTTCTGCTGTGCCACAGTGATGGCTGAACCACCGCCCTAGGGGCCCCAAGTGGCCGCTGGCTTGCCTGTCCTCGTGGGAACGTTGCAGACAGGAGGAAGATTTAAGAGCATTTTTGGAGCCTTCTTGAAAGTCCTGTCCAACGGCTTTTGCTTGTGGGTCAGGGAACCTTCATTGCTGGGGAAATCTGGGAAATGCAGTCTTCTGGGTCACTTTGAACCCAGTCGGAGTTCTGCTCCTAAGAAAGGAGAGAGTGGATCTCGGGCAAATCAGGAGCAAGCTCTTGTTGAACATCGACTCTTGGTCCTCTTTTACCTTATTTGGAATATTTAGGGACAAGGAATTCTCGGCTGTTAGCAATTGTGAAAGCAAACGAAACCTGATTTTCAAAGAGGAAAAAAAAAAGAACCCTCCCTCAGGGCTTGGATCCCTGGTTCCTGGTTCTTCATAGATAGAATACTACACAGCCAGGCAAAGCACCGTAGAGTGCTTCCGACTGACCCTATCTTCAGTGCGCAGTGGGTCTATCAGGGTGTCACCTCCCACTGCACCCCACAGAGGTGCCATGTCCCCTTGGGAAGGGGCACAGGAGACCTTTCTGTGTGAATCGCCAGTTAAAATAGGCTGGGAGGTCCACTGGGCCCAGGGAGGAGACAGACTCCCAGGGAGTCCCAGGTCCCCTGCAGTGTCACCAGCCTCCACTGAGTCACGTACAGAGAGTCCTCAACTCAGGGCGGCTCGAGTTAGGGTTTTTTTTTTTTTTTTGGCTTTATGATGGTGTAAAAGCTGCATCCGCACAAGAGACGGTGTTCAGAACCACGTTCCCTGAGTCAGTCCCCACTCCATGACGGAGGAGGCTTTCTGTGGCACGAGTTTGCCCAAGGTGGGCTGAAAAACGGAGCCAGGCAGCTGTGCTGGATATTTATCTATTTTGGGGGGGAGGGGTGGGTACTGGGAATTGAACCCAGAGCCGCTCCACCACGGAGCCACGTCCCAAGACCTTTTTATTTTACTTCCAAGATCAGGTCTTGCTAAGTTGCACCAGGCTGGCCTCAAACTTGCCGTATCCTGCCTCAGCGTCCGGAGAACCCCCCCCCCACACACATATACATATACACCCCTGGGATCAAAGGCGTGCTCCACCATGCCCGGCACCTGGTGGGTTCACTGAATGCATGTTGGATCCTTTTCTCGGCTGTGCAACTTTGGGCAAGTTAAGGAACCTCTCTGGGCCTTGGTTTCCTCATCTTTAAAACGAGAGGGGGACATCTCATTCAGCCAGCACTTTTTATTTATTTATTTATCTTTATTTTGAGACAGGGTCTGGCGGAGTCGCTGAGGCTGGCTTTAAACTTGGATCCTCCTGCCTCGGCCTCCCGAGTCGCTGGGATTGCAGGTGTGCACCCGCACCCGGCTCCTTGTTTATTGGTTCGGTGCAGGCAGCTGACCTCGGGAGCCCCTTAGCGACCTAGCTACCTTCCCAGTATGTCTTTATTTTGAGACACGATTTCACGAACTTGCCGAGGCTGGCCTCGAACTTGCGATCCTCCTGACTTCGGCCTCCACGGTTGCTGGGACGACTGCGTGTTTTGCCCCAGAGCCTGGCTAAGTAGCGCATGTCCCTTTGTGAACCTGTTTTCTTCTCACCTTCCAATGCCGGGGACACTTCGAACATGGGCCCCCGAGTGCCCGAGTCCCCACCTCTGGCCCCTGGTTCTGTGTGGCGTGGAGCACTCGTCTCAGCCTCCTCCGTTGGGAAGCGGGATGTGTCAGGACTTTCCCGTGGACACCCGGGCTTCCCGCACGCAGGCTCAGCACAGGACGGACCCAGCCTGGGCCCTCTTCCTTCACAGGGAGGCTTTCTGACCCAGGAGGCCCAGAGAGGCTTAGCAATTGCCTGAGGTCACACAGCTACTCTGTGGCCGTGGAAGTCATGCTTGGTATCCCACCAGCTGTATCCCCTGAGGATCTTCTTTCTCCTCCCCACCTCCAAGCACAGATGTCCCCCTGCCACCCCTGAAGGCATGCACCAAGCAGCCTTGGAAAGTTTCAATGTGTCACATGAAACACAGTTACATAAATGGGACGTGGGCCTGCTTTTAAGGATTTTAAAAATGCTGAGGCTTCAAGGTGAAAGAAACCTTTGTCTTTTTTTTTGGGGGGGGGGGGGATGAGAAACAAAATACCCGAGGGTAGAATTTTGGGAAAGAAGAGTGACAGGTGTGGGTGGCTCCGTGGCAGAAGCCTCCTTCCAACAAGGGCTGCACGGCTCAGCTGGGCCGCCAGAGGAGGCATGGGGTTTGCATCTGATGATCTCCGCCTGGCTCTGCTTTTAGAACTCACATGGCAAGCCCCGGGCTCACGTGGAACTTTCTAGAAGCAGGTTTGTTCCACCAGGGGGGTGGTCGCCCACGTTTCCTGCAGATACTTGAGAACCCACGGCCGGAGATAAAAAAAAAAGTGAAATATATACAGCTTGATCCCCTTTTCCACACATGCACACCCACGCCCCGCCTCCTGACCAAACTATGGAGCCCGGTCAGCCTCCAGAAGGCTCCTGGGTCCCCTCTGCCCGCCAAGATTTCCCCACCTGCTCTTCTCAGCCCTTTTTAACTATCCATGGACTCTGCTTGTTTCTGAGCTCTCCTTAAATGGAAGCACGAGGAATGCGCTCCTTTGCCTCTGGCTTCTTTGGTCAAACAGTTTTATCTGGGGGATTTGTGCATGTTGGCGCATGGGGTGGTCAGCTTGTTTTTCTCTGCCGCATAATATTCCATGGCGCGAAAACACCGCCGTCTGTGGATGCGCTCTGTTGACGGATATTTGGGTTGTCCTGAGAATGAATAGAGCTTTGTATTGGGAATGGAAACCGGGGGAGGGGGAGGGCTCAGCTCTACCACGGAGTTACATTCCCCCCAGCTCTTTTAATTGTTATTTTGAGACAGGGTCTTGCTAAGTTGATCAGGCTGGGCTGAAACTTGCAAACCTCCTACCTCCGTCTCCCCAGTTGGTGGGATTCGGGCAGGAGCGCACGGCATCTGGCAAGAAAGGGACATTTTATATTTAGCTGGGAGAAGTTGACTTGGTGCATGCAGCAGAGCAGGTAGGGACATCAGATGAGGAGCAATGTGACATGTACAGTGTCCTTTAGTGGGAGGGAGCCTGCCTGGGGGGGGAGGTCTGGAGACTGGCATCTTAGGGGAGCCACTAGGAGATATTAAAACCACACCATGTTCTTGGTACTTGCTGATCTGACGTTGG